AAGCTCGAAGTAAAAACATTCTCCAAGAAATTCCATCTCTTTGAAAATAATTTTTGGGGCCTATCCAAACAAACTTGCATAGTCGCATAAACATATGCATAAGGAAATTGATTGGCCCATAAGCAAATGCATAAGGAAATCGACCAATCAATTTTTTTATGCATATGTTTATGCGACTATGCAAGTTTGTCTGGATAAGTCCTTAACCATAATTAAGAGATCTATGAAAATTTATATAAATAATATATAACATCATTACTATATTAAACCTTTTTACGAATGAAATCATGGACAGTTATTAACTGTTACTGAGATAAACGTTTTTAATAACGGTAGTAAACAAAAAAGGAGACAGACGTCCCCTAATCACTATTGTCGGCTTGTACCTACACATTGGCTCTAATGAAAAGGCGCTCTCCAGTATGTTATATAGCTCAGTGGGCAGAACCGATCCCTCCGACCGGGAGTCGAGTTTGTCAAGACCGTAGGTAGCACATCGTTAAACATCAAAGTTTCCAACAGTTCACGATGGACAGTGGGCCCCGTAATCTCGTACGATGCGCTACTTACGGTTCTGACAAACTCGAGTTTCGGCTGGAGGGATCGGTTCTGCTGGCCGACGGATCTCGTTGGAGGAGGAAGCGTTCGACGAAAGGGTGTGCTCGCGAGACACATTTCGTCAGTCCTGTTCTAGAATTTTCTTTTTATCACGTTGTCTGCCGAACAGATTTATTACAATAGCCTAGTTTAGATCGTGCATTCGATACGCGTATCAGGTACTATGGCTTAGTTTACACCGATTGTTTAGTACGCGTATCAAATACTAAAGGTGCCGTCACATACAGCCCGTAATGCGTAATCCGCACCGGAAGTCCGCAAAAGTTACTTCGGTGTAAACTAAAGGTCTGTTTTTTATAGCTAAACTGGCTGCACTAGTTCAGAGTTTATCTTTCTCCTTCCAATGTGGAGGGAAAAAGATAAACTCTGAACTAGTACAGCCAGTTCAGCTATAAAGAACAGACCTCATGCCTCAGGTAAGAGTGTCGTACTAAACTGATACGCGTATCAAATGATACAAATGACGGAGAAAACGCACGAAACGCATTTTGGAGGGAATTTAGCATTGAGCATAACCTTAATTAAAATTGGTATTATCATTATTAACCTTTGGTCTCTCACAAACGATATTATATTAAAATGTCTTGTAGAAAAAAAGTAAATGGGAAAGAAGATTACTTATCGTAATCATTATGCGTTTTTTTCGATTATATTGTAACTTTTGAAACATTTAAAACCTGGCTATACACTTTTATATACTATTATTATTCACATTTTCTCTTTATTCAAATAAATAAATAATATACTCGACTTACAAAACAAGAATAAACTCAAGCAAATTGCAATTCTTAATACCACTACTAGAAAGCAGTCGACATAAATTAAATTTGTATTATTTTTTCCCCTTTAGTACGATCGATGTAAACGCATCCGTATTAAAGAATTGGTGCGCACCAAACTTAATACGCGTATCAACGTTTTGACGATTTAAACTAGGCCTACATTCCATTTTTTTATTGACAGAGACAATGCAATGACATCATTTATTACTTTTAAATTAATCTAAAAGTGTCCAATTAAAAGAATTAATAGAAAAGTGTTTCTAATGAACATACTTTTTTTCTAATCTAATACAATATGTGTCGATAAAACTATTTCACATATTAACGTTAAGTCGCAATTTTTTATCTTCTTTTTAATTATACAAAACTTGTTTCAATTTTTTAATTATATCTGTTTAACCAGTTGAGTGGTAGATTTTTCCGAAAGATTTGTGCCAAAAGTGGTAAGAGCCAAAAGTTAAAATATCGAAAAACGATGAAACATGGGTTCAAAGTTTTCGAAAAAGCAACTTTTCAAAATGGGTGTGAATTCCCCTCCCCCCCCCTCCCCCGCCCAGGAGGCGAGGGAGGCAGAATAGGAGTTGAAAATGTTAAACGGCACTATAGGTCGAGTGGGGATCATTTGAAAGGGCGTTTCAAAACAAGAACAATGATTTTTAAAAATGTTTACATTCCAGTCAAAAGTGGAGGTGAATCAAAAAAGGGGGGTGGACTTCCGAAAAGTTATCACCTCCGATTTAGCTTATATTCAGCCTAAATACTTATTTTATCTAGTAAATAATATTCCCAAATGGATTTTTGGCGCAAATGCTCCTCCGCCCCCCAGCCACCCTTCAAGATTCAAAAATAAAACTGTTTTTGTTAATTATTTCAGAAAGTATTCATTGTACGGAAAAAGTTGTTAAACAAGAAATGAAGCTCATAAAAAGTTCTACAAATAAGGTCTTATACATATTTTACCTAATTTCAATATTTTAATCTTTTAACAATTAACAGACGCCATATTGGAGCCGCCATTTTGAATTTTGTTATTTTGATAACAGATTCGAATTCAACAGCCCAAAAAATTTTAGGATATCAAGTTTTATGCAAATCTGTTGAAAATTAGTGGAGTTATTTAGAAATGTACATATATGATACATTACCACGTTAGGCACTTTTTTTTGTACATATATGATACATTATCACGTTAGGCACTTTTTTTTGTACATATATGATACATTACCACTCAACTGGTTAAAAACATTTTAATAATTACATATTTTAAGAATATAGAATATTCACGATTTTACATAAGACCACATTGAAAAACACGTCTTATTTTCTTTTACAGTTGTGAACCAGTATTATCTTCATATAATTCTGTATTTATTACAAATTACAACTGGATATATGCAGAATACAAAAAAAGTAATATATATAAAGCAGAAAAGACAACGTGTTATATGGCTAAAAAATGCCTACAAATGACTAAAAATACGGTTTGGTATTGTAATAGTGATAATGTTTTTGCTTATAATCGCGCAAAGGACGGTACCATTAAAAAAGATGAAAAGATTGTGGGAAATAATTACACTTTTATTACATCTATTGCTCTTTGTGATGATTATATTATAAGTGGCGACCTGTGAGTATTTATTTATGAACTGTATTTTATGTTTATTTCTTTTTTTTATTTTTGACAAAAATTCTTGCAGAAATGGTAATATTAAACACTGGAGAATTGAATCAGAGAAGGATGGAAGAAATAATCTTAAATGTTCAGAAATAGAATTAAATGATGTAAATACACATATTGAACACATTGACGCAAATGATGTAAATAAATATACTGAACACATTGACGCAACATCACAACACATTATAGCAGCTTCTAAGAATTTAATAAAGGTAAGATTCAAGAGAAATTGGAATAATACTATGTTAATATAGTATATAAAAAGATTGTTTTTGCAGTTACTGAAATATACAGACGATAAAACAGGTTGTACGAAAAAAAACGAAATATATTGTGGAGTCGGCGAGGAAGGATTTGAAAACGATTCTTATGTGGCATCAATTTCATTCGACCCTATAGGAACAAAATTTGCTGCTGGTTCCTATAGTCATGATCAATCATTATCGTCGTTCCTAATTTACGATATTGAAAAAAGGTAAGTTATACTTCAATTAATTGATCAGTTTCTACAAATGTTGGATTAAACATTGACTATCTTTATATAGACACTATTATATGATTCGATTTAATAACATTTGTAATTATAACTTACAAGGACGATTTCATAACCCAAAAATTCTAAAAAATCTGAAATTGCAGAAATATAATATATGAACCTAACCTAACCTAACCAAAAAACTATTTCTTGTTTTGGCAAAAAGTAATTCTAGAGAGCGAAATACCCCGCAAAAAATCAGATTTTTTAAAAGAGTGTTTCCACTCCTAGAATTGTTTTTTAGTTAAAACAAAAAATAAATTTTTGATTTGGTTCATATGTATTATATTTCTTCAAAGTTTCAGATTTTTTAGAATTTTTGGGTTATTGAACTTTTCTTGTTAGTGAGTACTAAGCTATATATACAGGAATGGGCACTGAATCGCTTGTCGCGAGAGAGAACTACATGTCGTGTATTGCTGTCCTTTGACATACAGTAAAGTTCGAAACTTTTGACTGTGTTTGGCGTAGTAGGTACACACCAGTTACAAGAATGCCTTAGGGCTTATCCAGACAAACTTGCGTAGTCGCATAAACATATGCTTAAAAAAAATTGATTAATCCATTTCCTTATGCATTTGCTTATGGACCAATCATGTAAGTTTGTCTGGATAGGCCCTTACACATGAATTTGTCAACGAGTGTCAAGGCCATAGACATATATAACTAGATCCAGCATGCCATATATTTTCTTATGATATTTGTTGGGTTTGGCAGAACGGAGAGAGAGGCAAAACATAGGGGATATTTCTGTCCTTTTCTTGCGCGCGCATCATGACAGTAATGGCCGACAATTGTCAACTGGTCATAACGTGAAAGTCGGATATCATAAGTTACGTGTTATGTGTACGAACATTATATCCTTTTATTATACCATATATATAAATATGTTAAAAAATGAAGACGTGCAGTGCGTGTGGAGATTGGAAAAAGCCTAATGGCCGTCACATGGCTGTCACGCTCGCTGTCAATAGCGACTGCGCATCCTATCTGCGCAGACAAAGAAAGAAATCTTCCCCTATGTTTTGCCTCTTTGTCCGTTCTGCCAAAGACATGCATGCTGAGTCTAGTTATATATGTCTATGGTCAAGGCACATTTGAATTTGCTTGTTTTAACACTCGTTCAAGTTCATGTGTGAAAACATTCATGTGACTAAATGTACAATTGGAGCAATACCTTTGAATCGAGCGTAAAAACTTTTGGCCTGTCGGTATATCTATAAAGTATAGACTGCTGATTTTCTATCCCAATAATGAGTGACGAGCGTGGGAATGAAAGAAATTAAAAATTTATCTTTCCCTCTTTTATCGTGGAAGCATCCGCCGTTAAGCCCATATTAGACTACGTATTAAAGATTGAAAATTAAAGATTGAAATTTAACCAATCAAAACAAAAAAACCAAAAGTTCTTTATCCTGATTGGTCAAATTTTAATTTTCAATTTTTAATAGCAATCTTTAATGTGTAGTCTGATACGGCAATTATGCCCGTATATAAGACTATACCCTCAAGATCTATAAAGAGAAGGTTACCTCATGCGCAAAGAGGGACGAGCAGCAGGAGGGGCAAATGCAGAGAGGGGCGAGCGGCAAGAGGGGCAATGATGATCTCATCGGCGAACAGAAGCTATCTCAGACAGCTACTGTGTGTCGATGAGATCATTATGCTCTCCCCTTCCTTCATCGCCCATCGCCCTCAAGCTGTTTCTAGCGCCCCCCTTACTTTATCGTCCCTCGCCATCAACTGGTTTTACTGAGGTAACTTTCTTTCTATAGATCTTGCTATACCCTGTCCAGCGAAAGAAAAATTCACGGTCTGCGCATAGAAGCATAGCAGTCAAAGTGGGAAGAGCGTTGCGCCACCCGCTGGCACTGGCAAGCTGCACAAGCAGTACAGTTGTGTGGAATTGGGGGTTTTTTAAGCGTTCCGTGAGGGGAGACCTGAGCGAAACAAACGAGTTTTCGTCCTAACCGTGGATCTTTTTCTCGCTGGACAGAACATAGGTGTTTATGTATATTTGGATTAAAATATACACCATGCTAATGTAAAGCAATTTTAGTGATCTGGTAATGGATAAAAATTGTGAAGGTTTTTTCGCCAACTACTATGGGAGGATCCTCACACTGTTCTCATGTGTTTTGATCAATCTATTAAAAAAATGGATATGAGGTAATAAATCTTATTGTTGATATTAATTAGCCATTCAATTTCTTTATATTTGCTACTGTGATTTCAGAGTATCCGATTTTGTACGTACATGGAATTCTTCGCAATATGAACATTCATTTTGTTGCTCATCAGATAATATGTACACTTTTATGACGGGACATTTTGAGTGTGTTTTATGGGATCAGAGACAAAGTGTTGCCATTCAAGTTTGTATTATTTTCAAAATTTTTTGTATTTTGTACTTTACTAGTGAATTAATATTAACTTTCTTAAAAATTTTTAGAATTATGATGTGGCTAACCCTGAAAAGTATTCAATTATATATTCTCTAGAATTTGATAGTGCCCATATGTACGCTGTTACACGCCGCTGTCTTTATGAATTGGACTTTATGGGAAGACACCACTTTGATTACAAAAAAATAAAAAAGTTATTTGGCAAATTTTATTAAATAAAAAAAATTGGTCGAAAAATTTTTATATTATATTTTGAATGTTTACAAAAATTCAATGAACTCTATACAAATTGGGAAGCGCCGTGCTGCTGAAGATGCAATCCGTCAAAAAAATCATTCGAATTGTTTTATCTCTTTCTGTTGTAGACTCTCTTCACTGAATTCTGTAAATGTTTATATTTATGTATACTCTACACATATGTATATAAAAAATGGAGGCTTTCTATCAACCTACCAAAAAAAGAGACAAAACAAATCCACTGTTTTTCTTTGTTTCTCTCTTATGCCACGCTTATATGAAAAAGCTTGCATCAGACGAGTCTGCATGCAAGTTGTTTATTGTGTTTGAAAATAGGTTTGGTTACTGCCAGTAAAAATAGTTCGGTTGGCAGCAGTGAAATTTACTGGTTCTGCGTTTCGTTTCTCCCAGCAGTAAGGACCATTTTTTCCAACGTCTATTAACTCTCAAGATTTATAGAGAGAAGGTTACTTCATACGTAAAGAGGGACGAGCGGCAAAAAAGGCAAATGCAGAGAAGGGCGAGCGGCAAGAAGGGCAATGATGATGGGAGTTTTCCATCTAGGAGACACAGATCGACACTGTGTGACACGGTCAAACACCGTGCTTGGATACTTGATGGAATGCGTTTAATTCTGAACTAGACTGTTAGAATTTGTTTATGTCTTCCATGATATCTAGTAAGTTCATTTAATTGAAAAATTGGCGTACCAAGAGCATATTGGCATATTTAAAGTACGTTACAAATCAAACATAACCATCA